TCCTGGCAGAGCCCCACCACCTGTCCGTCCCCGTCTCCCCCCCTCTCTCCCCAGCAGAGTCACCACTGCCAGCCACTGGAGGGCCCAGGGGTCTGACCAGGGGTGAATGATACCAGGCTAAATGGGCGCACTTGCTGTACTTAGCTGGCAGCTCTTCCCAGCGCCATGACGACAGTGACCCGGCAGCCCCTTCTGCCCCGACGCCATGACGACAGTAACCTGGCAGCCCCTGCTGCCCCGGCGCCATGACGACAGTAACTGTGCTGCCCCGGCGCCATGACGACAGTAACCCGGCAGCCCTGCTGCCCCGGCGCCATGACGACAGTAACTGTGCTGCCCCGGCGCCATGACGACCGTAACCCGGCAGCCGTACCTTGGAGCCCAGGGGCGAGCCCAGATGCAGCGTCTGTTCCTCGGCTTTCGGCGCACTGAGGAAGAGCAAGAGAGGCTGGTGACGCCCTGGGCACTGCCTGGCGCCTGGCCCCCCGCACCCTATGGGAAGGGCCCCTGGGCTGATCCCTGTCACCCCCAGGCCGGGGTCCTGCCCCACTGTCACAGGGCAAAGCCTCACAAAGGGGATCTTGTAGGGATGCCCCACGTCGAGTCCTGGCTCCCAGCCCCACTGGCTCCGTGCACAGCATGGCAGGTTGGGGCCCTGGCCCCACGCCCGAGCCTGGCCCCGGCAGCCCTGCCCTACTCACCTGAGGCTCAGCACTCCCAGGTGCAGGGTGGGCTGCTCCAAGTCCTGCTGCCCCGGCTCCGGGGTCCCCTCCTCCGACGGGACGTCCTGGGCGAGGGACAGAGAGTCACAGCATGTCGGGCTGGTGTGACGTTATTGACACAAACTGGGACCGTATAGATCATTGTTGCAACCAAGGTCCTGTAGTGGCCCCAAATCTTGTACAAAGGGGGTCAAAGAAGGTGTCTAAGACACGGTTATGGTTTGCTGGTTATGATTACTGTCTATATTTTTGTATTTAAAGTTATCAGTATTGGCTCTAGACTGTCTGTAGTTCAAACTTGTGCTGTGTTTCTGGGTGACACCCCAGACAAGTTGGCATCAGCTCTGCCTAGCCTGCTGGATGGCCCATTAAGGACCATCAGCTATTGTGAGGTAGGGAGTGGGGAGTGTTGGCCTGGGGATGTTTGTGGGAGTTGCACTAGTTTACTGTCTGCATTAATACTGATGGGGATGGGATATCAGGGGTGACCTCGCATATACCCTGAGCCCAGGAGGGGTTTGGGGCCAGGTGACACCTTCTGCCTGGGAAACTGGACAAAGACTGGAGAAGGAGGGGGGGTTGGCTGGGGGAGATGGCTGGAGGGGGTTTCAGTTTGGAGCTGGCTGGGGAGACGGGGGGAGGCCCAGCACTGGGGTCTGGGCTCCCTGCCCCCCAAGATGGACCTGACTGAGAGGTCCTGTTCTCTATACCTACAAGCTCTGTCTTGGACTGTGTTCCTGTCATCTAAATAAACCTTCTGTGTTACTGGCTAGCTGAGAGTCCTGGTGAATCGCAGGAAGTGGGGGTGCAGGGCCCTGACTCCCCCACACTCCGTGACAGGGGGTGACTCCTGTACTGGGCCGGGCCCCCGGGCCCTGCAGCTCACAGGGGAAGCCCACAGCCTCCGAGGCTGGGCCTTTGGCACCAGCGACCCATCTCTGTCCGGGGCTCCCTGCCGCGAATCCGGCCCGGCCAGGCCCCGGCGTGGGGCTGGTCCGTCCCCGTCAGGGCGCGATGCTCCCCGGGGACGCTAGCAGGTCCCCACTGAGCAGTCACCTGGCTACTGGCGGCCAGGCCGTGGCTGGCTGGGGGGGCAGGGCTAAGCCATGAGACATCAGACCAAGCCAGCGACAGGAACTGGCCCAAGCTCTGCTCTCCTTTCCCCTCGCTCCCCAGCCCCACTTCCTGCCCTGCCAGGGCACCCTGCTGTTACGGGGATTGTTCGGGGCTTTGTCTTTCTGATCCTCTGCCGATCTGAGCTGGTTTTGCTCTTGTCCTTCCACCCAGATGGGGGACCGCCCCACGCCGCTCACTGGGTGCCGGGAAACAAGCCATTTACAACACACACTTTGCTTCTCTACAGAGGAAAAAGGACAGTAAACTAACTAAACTCCTACATGCCACAGGGGCCACAACAGCGGTTCCCTTAACCCGCCCAACAACACCACATTCTACAGCCATACCCTCCGATCCCACTGAGGGGACCAAAAGAAACTGCACCATCTGCTCAAGAAACTCCCGGCTACAGCACAGGAACAAATCTACACGGACACACCCCCAAAGCCCCGACCAGGGGTATTCTATCTGCTACCCAAGATCCATAAACCTGGAAACCCTGGATGCCCCATCATCTCGGGCATTGGCACCCTGACAGCAGGATTGTCTGGCTATGTGGACTCTCTCCTCAGGCCCTACACTCCCAGCACTCCCAGCTATCTTCGAGACACCACTGACTTCCCGAGGAAACTACAATCCATCGGTGATCTTCCAGAAAACACCATCCAGGCCACTATGGATGTAGAAGCCCTCTACACCAATATTCCACACAAAGACGGACTACAAGCCGTCAGGAATAGTATCCCCGATAATGTCACGGCAAACCTGGTGGCTGAACTTTGTGACTTTGTCCTCACCCACAACTATTTCAGATTTGGGGACAATGTATACCTTCAAGTCAGTGGCACTGCTATGGGTACCTGCATGGCTCCACAGTATGCCAACATTTTTATGGCTGACTTAGAACAACGCTTCCTCAGCTCTCGTCCCCTAACGCCCCTCCTCTACTTGCGCTACATTGATGACATCTTCATCGTCTGGACCCATGGGAAACAGGCCCTTGAGGAATTCCACCAGGATTTCAACAGCTTCCACCCCACCATCAACCTCAGCCTGGACCAGTGTACACAAGAGATCCACTTCCTGGACACTACAGTGCAAATAAGTGATGGTCACATAAACACCACCCTATAAATCTGACAAATCTGACATCAGGAATTATAACATTCAAAAAACAGTAGAACACTTCAATCTCCCTAGTCACTCAATAACAGACTTAAAAGTGGCAATTCTTCAACAAAAAAACTTCAAAAACAGACTCCAGTGAGAAACTGCAGAACTGGAATTAATTTGCAAACTGGACACCATCAAATTAGGCCTGAATAAAGACTGGGAGTGGATGGGTCATTACACAAACTAAAAACTATTTCCCCATGCTAATTTTCCCCCTACTGTTACTCACACCTTCTTGTTAATGGTTGGAAATGGGCCATCCTAATCATCACTACAAAAGCCTTTTTTTTTCCTGCTGATAAAAGCCCACCTTAATTGATTACTCTCATTACAGTTGGTATGGCAACCCCCATTTTTTCATGTTCTCTGTGTATATATCTCTTCCTACTGTATTTTCCACTCCATGCATCCGATGAAGTGGGTTCTAGCCCACAAAAGCTTATGCCCAAATAAATGGGTTAGTCTCTAAGGTGCCACAAGGTCTCCTCGTTGTTTTTGCTGATACAGACTAACACAGCTACCCCGCTGAAACCTGTATTACAGAACGTCCCCCCAGACACAGGCCTGGCCTCTGTGCCCCAGACAGGACGTGGTGCCCAGCACACCCCACAGCGACCCCGCCTGAGCTTTGCTGCCGTTCTCCAGCTGCTGGCTGGGTGGTGAGTGCCCCCATTCCTGCACGGCCTGGGGGTGCCCCCTTCTGCCTCCTCCACCTGCACTTCCTGACCTGGACACCCCCTGGTACCGGCCCCCGCCACGCAGCGCCGCACTCACCTTCCAGACCTCGGCATCTGCCAAGCGCTCGGCCTCCACAAAGCCCGTCCAGGTGAGCTGCAGAGAGCGGGACAGAAACCAGCCAGTGGGGGTCAGTGGCCTTCTGACGAAGTGGGAATGTTCTTAATGTTTTCTCTGAATACTGTGTGGGTGCCTCAGTTTCCCCTATGCATGTCTTAAGTCTCTAGGTGGTGGTATAAGGGGGTGTGGTTGTTGCAGAGCCCTAGGAGACCAGTGTGATGCTGTCTGCACAGAGAAGGGCCGACACCCTGTCTCTGGCAACTGATGACCTGGGCCCCTCCCCTGCAAAGGTGCCAACTGAACTTGTTGGAGAACAAAGAGATCAGGTGACCTCCTGGCCTGGGAAAGAGACAAAGGCCAGAGGAGGGGCTGGAGAGTTTCAGTTTGGAGCTGGCTGGGGAAAGAGAGGGAGGCCCAGACCCGGGGTCTGGCCTCCCTGGCCCCAAGATGGACCTGACTTAGGGGTCCGGTTTCTGTACCTACAAGCTCTGTTTTGGACTGTGTTCCTGTCGTCTAATAAACCTTCTGTTTTCTTGGCTGGCTGAGAGTCCCGGTGAATCGCAGGAAGTGGGGGGTGCAGGGCCCTGACTCCCCCACACTCTGTGACAGGCCTCCCCCAGGGTTAGGGGGTGTCTGTCTACCTCCCAAGGGGTATTGCCCTCTGCCTCATGCGGGGGGGGGATCCCGGGTCCACCTGGAGATAGGGGGACACTAGGGCAGCATCTGTTTGTCCCCCAAGGGGTCAAGGTTCCCCAGGGCACTTGTGGCATCACCCTCTGGATCCCAGGGGTGGGGCAAACCTGGGGCACCAGCAGCGTCTCCCCAGGGTGGGGGGGTCCCTGGGGCACCGGCAGCATCTCCCCAGGGTTTGGGGGGTCCCTGGGGCACCGGCAGCATCTCCCCAGTGTTTGGGGGGTCCCTGGGGCATCGGCAGCGTCTCCCCAGGGTGGGGGGGTCCGTGGGGCTCTCACCTGCTGCTCCTCGGTGGGCGTATTCCCCTGGGAGTCACGGTCGGGGCCGCGGCCCCCCTCGCCCTGGCCCAGGTCTGCGGGTGGCTCCCACTGCGTGGTGCCCGTGGGGATGTGCCAGTAGTAGGTGCCCGAGGCATCCTGCACCCTCACCCACCCAGCAGGCAGGTCGGAGTCCGTCTCAAAGGCGTTGCGGGCCCAGGAGGCGTCTGTGGAGGGAAGGGGTGTGAGCAGGGCCGGGCAGCCCCGGGGAGTCGGGACGGGCCAGTGCCGGGGCAGGACAAGGCCTCAAACACTGGCCCAGGCCCCAGCACAGCCATAACCCCACCGCCCTGCACCTCACTATGCCCGCTCGTCCCCCCGGGCCAGCCCTCAGCTGAGCCCCCCTGCCCTCCAGACCTTTCCAGGGGGGCTGCTTCCCGGGGCCAGCCCCAGCCAGGCCTGGGGCTCCGGCTGGATTGACTCGCACGGTGCTACGGGATGCCCAGTGCCCGCTCGGGGCCCAGCCAGGCCCCCTCCTTACCCCCCATTTCCCGGCGGTGACGGGGTCTTTGCCTGCAGCCCAGGCAGCGCGTGACAGGCACCGGGCTGGGAACAGCCCCTGCGGGGCCCCTGGGGACAGCCAGGAACCCGGGGCCCCCGTTACAATGATGGGCAGTGCCCAGTCGGTGCCTCGTCCGGACGGCACCAAGTCAGACGCCTCTGAGCCTCTGCCTCTGAGCTTCTGCCTATGACACAGTCTCTTCGTCGTCGTCCCGCAGCCAGACCCAGCCGAGCCGGGCACCAGACCCAGCCGAACTCCAGCCAGACCCAGCCAAGCTGGGCAACAGACCCAGCCGAGCTGGGCACCAGACCCAGCCAAACTCCGGCCAGACCCAGCCGAGCCGGGCACCAGACCCAGCCAAACTCCAGCCAGACCCAGCCAAGCCGGGCAACAGACCCAGCCGAGCTGGGCACCAGACCCAGCCAAACTCCGGCCAGACCCAGCCGAGCAGGGCACCAGACCCAGCCAAACTCCGGCCAGACCCAGCCGAGCCGGGCACCAGACCCAGCCGAGTCGGGCACCAGACCCAGCCGAACTCCAGCCAGACCCAGCCAAGCCGGGCAACAGACCCAGCCGAACTCCAGCCAGACCCAGCCAAGCCGGGCACCAGCCCCAGCCAAACTCCGGCCAGACCCTGCTGAGCACCGGCCGGACCCAGCCGAGCTCCGGCCAGACCCAGCCGAGCGGGACACCAGCCCCAGCCGAACTCCGGCCAGACCCAGCTGAGCCGGGCACCAGACCCA